TACCATGTACACAAAAAGCAAGTCAACTTATATTTGTGTTCAGTAAATACGTGGAAATTACATCATGTACTGTGAATTCAACTTTTACTTCTCCAACCCAGCCGAGTTCCACGACCTTTGTCCAAATGGGCAAGGTCTCTACTATGAAGAGCGTCTCCAGTACAACCTCCCGGCCTACCAGGGTAGGTATTGTGTAAAGTCAGAGCCAAGATCACATACTGCACACCAGAATTACACAGTGCTTAATCCATTCTGTGATGTTAAAGCAATCTGAGCTCCACTTTAATCAGCTGCAGAGCCTTTGTTTCATCCGTGTCCAAAGAAGCTGACAGTTTCTAATGTTTGCTGTTAGTCACAGTTGTCAGTTAATCCCTCTGAGAATCAGCTGAGAATCAGCTGTGAATCTGCCGCTCAGGAAGCAATCTTTCTCTCCTTGTCCACAGATATTGACGAGTGTTCCTTGTTTGCTGAAGAAATCTGTAAGAAAGGTCGCTGTGAGAACACGCTTCCAGGCTACGAGTGCTACTGTCAACAGGGCTTCTACTACGATAGCAACCTCCTTGAGTGCATTGGTAAATCCCTCACATAAAAATGTGTATTAAAGGTTCATTTTGAAAATTCATAACAGAGATTTTTAGGTTCTTTCTAAAAGATGTTTGATGGATTCTTTTCTTGTTCTTCCCCAGATGTGAACGAATGTCACGACGAGTCTATGTGTACTAATGGCCGGTGCATCAACACTGAAGGGTCCTTCTACTGCAACTGCAATCAACCCTGGGTCCCAGACTCCAACAGGAAAAAGTGCGTAATGGTAACAGTAGCAGGTTAGTATCTTCGCCCCGCTTAAACTGCATTTATCAGGATACTATAGGAATAATCCTGAACACTGTTTTTTTTGGGTTTTTTGCGCAGATGTGAATGAGTGTGAGAACCCAGAAAATTGTAAAAATGGCCGCTGCGTGGACACCCCGGGCTCCTATTACTGCATCTGCTCTCCACCCTGGACCCTGGCCACTGACCGCAACAGCTGTGTGACTCCTGAGGAGCAGGCTGGTGAGTGCAGACTCCCTGCAGTGGGAGAGACCAGTGATCAGTGTTATATGTTACGTAAATGTTTTATGTAAGACAAAATATTTCTGTGCCTGCTTAAAATGAATAACGTCTGTGAGCCATTTTAGGCTGGTTACTGCAGCTGCACTGCATCATGCACATATCAAATCCCACTCTCTCCTCACATCATATATCAATAATACACTCTGAAAGCCTTTGGGGGGTTATATTTA